CCTGGCTTAGTCTCACTTGACAGGATCACCCCTGCACTCTGGTTATCATACCACAACGGTAATGAGCCGGGCTCGACGAAATGTCGCAAGTGGACTAGCAAAAACCGGGTGGTAGCCATAGCCTGACTACCATGTACGTACACAAAGCCACCTGATGAAAACCCGTTGGATCCCAAAGGTTCTTGGACGGGCCCACTATACTAGGCGCACGAAAGCTTGACCTCCCTAGCTACAGCAGTATGCACATGATGATAAACCTATGACATGCGTCTAGAATGAACATGATGAATGCTTGATATATTTACCTTTGGTCGACGCCAAGAATATATCAATTAAATAACATACATATTGTAGATTAACATTTCATGCAAACATACAAACAGATCCTGGGTCAAACTGGTCACTGGGCTCGTCCTACAAACTACCCGGAAATCTGCCCGCAGAACGGTCGACCGTACCCTACCGGCGGTCGACCGTGGGCTACGTTGTGGAGGACTGGACTGCCGATGGTCCACCGTGGTCTTCCGTCACGGCCGGCAGTCGACCGTCACGGTGGTGACCGTCGGAATGGTCATGGGAACGGTCCACCGTTCATGGCAGCGGTCAACCGTCCCGAAGACAGTCCGCTGTCCCATGCTTCGTTTTGATCCATTTTGCTAATTTAACACTTAGATTCTTTTTAGAACAATAATACAACATTGATGAATATATTCCTAGTGATTCCTAGGCCAATAATTATTAGTTTTATGTGGTAACATTTTGATGGCTAACCTGCGAACATGAATAGATTCTACGTAGGTTGCGTACAATACTCCTATGAACATAACAACATGGATTATAACTAAATGTTCTAGAATTAGAGGGAACAACTACTCACCTCTAATGGAAGGGTTGATGGAACAATGAAACGAGATGAACGAACGGCGCTAACGACCCAACGAATGACTTCTCGCGTAGCCTCTCTTCTTTTTCTTCTCCTTTGCTTCCCCTTCGTCTACACGCCGGAGCTCCTCCTTTTTCCTTGGGCTGTTATGGCCGAAACTCCCAACAAGGAGAAAAGGGAGATGGAGAGTGAATGTGTGTGTTGAATTAGGGAGTTACAAAATGATGGGAAAATGAAGAGGAGAAGGAGAATTATATTGAAGGGAATTGAATGGAAATTGAAGAGGGAGTTAATGAAAGTGATGATGGTGAGTTGAGGGGATGAGAGTGGCGTATGGGTGTATTTGGGGAGTTACCTCCCATTAATTTTACTCCGTTGTATAAAATCTGACCTAAACGGTACGCGCTTTTTCCCCCGAACAGGTCCAAATTGAGATCCGTTTGTGTTTTTGGAATCAAACAGTCAAAACGAATTTAATGACATGTTCAAATAATTTTTCTAAGAACTTTTATTTTCCCTAACTCCGGTCCAGAACAGTAATTAATTATTTAAAAATAACCAATTCTATTAGACCGGGTTGTAGGGCGTTACACTAGATATTTCGATGAATAAGATAATCATTTGATAATTGGACCAGTTAAAATTAGAAATTAAAATAGTAAATTTAATAATTATGTTAACTAATTTAGAATAATGTACTTATTCAAAAATATCAACTAAAAATATTATTTGACTTAAACAACATTTACCATAACACCTAAATTGATTAGGGAGTAAATTATTTAAAAAAAACTTGATATGAAGTGCAAGTGGACAAACCTACGTGAGATTAGTGTATTTGGCCACTAACATACTCTCTCCGTCCACAAATAAACTTTTCGTTGCGCGTTACAATATTTGACTGAAGTTATTTTCAAATCATTTTATATGAAAAATGGTGTAAAATTTAAAAATAAAAATTACATATTAAAAAACTATATTAAAAGATCTACAAAACTAGAGGTAACATGATTATATTGTTTTATCAAATAGGTGACAAAAATAGGCTAACAAAGGGAATAAAGTGTGACCCTGTGAATAGTGAACGAGAAGTTTATTTGTGGACGGAGGAAGTATTATAGAATAATGACAATGTTAGAATATAAATAACTGTTTCTGGGCCACAACCACAAGCTTGAGCTTTTTGTTGAATTGGTTCTTTAACATGGTATCGGAGCCTCGTTGACTAAGAGGTTACGAGTTCGAAACTCAGCGCCACCCAGTTTAAAAAATTTAAGGTTTCACGTGCGAGGCTCGAAAAAAACTACGCCTGTACGTGAGGGGACGTGTTAGAATATAAATAACTGTTCCTGGGCCACAACCATAAGCTTGAGCTTTTGGTTGAATTGGTTCCTTTATAGACAAGTATGATTAAGATATTTACTAATGAAACTTAATAAGTAAGGTATGGATGTATAAATACTGGTGGACTTGGTTTTAAAGAGTAAGTCTTTCAAAAAAATAATAATAATAACTTATATATTCTTTACTCCATAAAAATACAATAAAAATAAAAATGTTTGTATTAAATAGCACTAAAACTTAAGTCATTTCCTTAAATAGCACTTAAACTATTTTAAAAAGACATGGATTTTCATTGTTCTTTTCCCGCCCATTTTATGGTGTAGAGAATATGGTAATTCTTCACTCCATATGGTAATTACTAAATGGTAATTAATGGATCATTAAAATAACCGTGTATAAAAAAGGTTGAAAAGGTATAAAAATTGTGTATAAAAAAGGTAACGAATGCTCAACTAAAAATGGTAATTTAATATAACCGTGTAATTAAAATGGTAACGAATGTTAATTTAATATAAACGTGTGTAAAAAAGGTAACGAATGGAAATTTAATTTAATTTAGTTACCGTAATTGAGTAATTACTCAATTAATATTACCGTGAATATAAAATTAGTGTAATTGTGATCAACATATAGCCGTGTAGTTTAAAATAACCCTGTATAAAAAAGGTATAAAAACTGTGTATAAAAAAGGTAACGAATGCTCAACTAAAAATGGTAATTCATACTTTATTTAAAAACACATGGAGTCAACCTTTGCTTTTCCCGCCCATGCGTTATTACATTAACAAATGACAATTGTTCACTTAAAATGGTAAGTTTCTGAAAATAATATAATAATAAATATTAAAAACTTACGCATGTGCTTAATTCTCCATGCATTATTACATTTACAAAATGGCAATAATTCACTTAAAATGGTAATTTTTATTACATTAACAAATGGCAATTGTTCATTTAAAATGGTAAGTTGCCAAAAATATAATAATAATTATTAAAAACTTGCGCATGTGCTTAATTTTCCATGCGTTATTACATTTACAAATGGCAAATTAATTATTATAAAGTTAAAATTAATATTAGTTTTTACACGCAATGCCTTTAAAAACGTGAAATTATATATCTAAAAAATAATTATTACATAACATTAATAATCTTAAAAAATTAATCTAAAAAAATGGTTTAAAAGCTATAAATACAATTCCTTTTTTTATCACACTAAATTTATCAATTCGTACGAAGTGTTCTAATTATACAATTTTGTACGTTATTTTAACCTTTTTTTTTCTGTAGGGGCGTTCGGAATTTGTTCCTTTTTTATCACACGGTATTTTAATACCGTAATTGTCATTTTTATACACCTAATTGGAAATAATTACAAAAGGTAAGTTATACAATTATACACCCAATTTCGCAGAAAAAATGGAAATAATTAAAAGGTAAGTTATACAATTATACACCCAATTTCAGAAAAAAGATAATTGGAAATAATTAAAAAAGGTAAGTCCCAATTTCCTTTTGAATACGAACAGTTTTATCTCCAATTATTAAAAATTACTTTTTAAAAACGTAATATTATTAATCAAAAAATAATAATAATTATTAATCTAAAAAATGGTTTAAAAGCTATAATAAATACTCTTCCTTTTTTATCACACGGTAATAACCAGTTTTAACACGTAATCATTTTAAAAAACGAATACATAATATGACACCGTTTATAATTGGTAATTAATTTTAAAAAAGAAACAAATAATATGACACCGACAATTGGTAATTAATACATACTTTATTTTAAAAGACATGTAGTCAATATATGGTTTTCCCGCCGAAAGAGTATGACAATTATAAATGGCAATTGTGAAGTTAAAATGGTAAGCGGCTGAAATTATAGTAATAATTATTATAATTAGTATATTTATAATAATTAAATAAAGATAAGTTAAAATGGCCGAAAGGTAAGTTAATAATTGCAGTGGCCGAAATTATAGTAATAATTATTATAATTATTATATTTATAATAATTATAAAATGGTAAGTAGCCGAAATTGTGAAGTTCTAATTATTAAAAAAGGTATGAATATAATAATTAACGTATTGAAAATTGTAAATGATTAAAAAAAGTTAAGTTAATAATTGTAGTGGCCGAAATTGTAGCAATAATTATTATAATATTATATTTATAATAATTATAAAATGGCCAAAAGGTAAGTTAATAATTGTGAAGTTAAAATGGTAAGTGGCTGAAATTGTGAAGTTATAATTATTAAAAAAAGTATAAATTTAATAATTAATGTATTGAAAATTCGAACTAATTAAAAAAGGTAAGTTAATAATTGTTGTGGCTGAAATTGTAGAAATAATTATTATAATTATTATATTTATAATAATTATAAAATGGCC